GGGTTGTATGTGGGGGGAGGGCCGGGCTGTATGGGGGGAGGAAGGCCGGGCATTATGGGGGGGAAGGTCGGGCAGTATGGGGAGGAAGGCCGGGCTGTATGTGGGGTAGGAAGGCCGAGTAGAATGTGGGGGATGGGAAAGGCCAAACAGGTTCAGGAAGGGGCATCTCACTGGCTCCAGCCCCACACTGGGCTCCAGGCCTTGGCTCTCTTGCCCTCTCACTCTCCCATCAGGTGAGAAGAAGCTCACCTGCCCACCAGCCGGAACCAGGGGAAACGGTCGTAGAAGGGGTCCCCGCCGGTGACCACGTTGTCACAGTCCTCAATGATACTGGAAGGCACCTCGGCCGCCCGGTCGTACATTTCCCGCATCAGGTCCAGGCGCTGCCTGCAGACACCATGGGTCAGTGGGCTCAGGCCCATCTCCAGCACATGTCCCTGCTCTGCCCTGGTCATGCTGGGCTCATGGTGGCTTTCAAGACCACAACAAGGGCCCTGACTCAGTCCACCTCCCAGATTCAACCAAGGTGCCCTCAACCAGGTAGGATGGGTCAGGACCAGCCCCAGAGAGAGGCCACAGAGTGTGGACCGTGCTGGGAGCTAGAAGGCAGGGGAGAAACCCCACTGAAAGCTAGGTGTTGGAGGTCCAGAAGGAAGGCTGGACCAGCACACTACTCGGAACGTTATCCCCCCGGGGGAGACCTGGTATAAGGCAGCACAGAAGTGACAAGGACAGTGCAGAGGGCAGAGGAGTGCGCGTGGGCCAGTGAGCACGAGCCTGTACGCGAGCACACGTGTGCGTGAGACGTGTGAGAATGTGTGTACATTCAAAAGCAGGTGTGGGTGAGTGTGTGCGAGCACGAGACTGTGCATGTGAACATGTGGGCACGAGCTGTGCGTGCGAGAGCATGCAGTGTGTGTGAGCACCGTGTGTGCATGTGTGTCAGTCAGAGCACGTGTGTAATGAGTCTCTGTGGTGAATGTGTGTGTGAGCATGTACGTGTGTCAGTAAGTGTGGGGGGGTGTGTGTGTGGTGAGTGTGGGGGGTGAGTGTGTGGGTGGGATGGGATGGGGTGGGGGATGAGGGGTGTCCCTCCCCCAACCCTTGTGTGGCCCAGGCTCCGAGTGGCTCTGGTAAAGTGGAGGGGTGACCCAGCACTACAGGCCCAGGTAGCAGCTCTGTGTGTTTCTGTGTGCACGTGGGCACATGTGACTGGGGGACAGGGAAGACCAAGGAGCCTACCACCCTCTCCACTGCCTGTGGGTCTGCCGTCCCTCCTAGCTACCTCCTAGGTACCCTGTGACCTCTTGTGCCTTTCTTCATAAATACAATGGCTTGTGTCCCTCAACGTTGGTACAGGGTCCGTCCATCCACCACCACCCTCTTGTGCCCCCTGCTAGCCACACCTGAGTTTCTCCAGGGTCCAGTAGTGAGTGGCCCCATTCTTCTGGTCCTGCACCTCCACAGCCACAATGGTGCGGGGGAAAGGGCGCGTCTCCCGGTCTTTGGCAGCCTCAGGGGGCAGCAGGTCAGGGGGGAGAGGGGAGTAGAGTGTGTCCGTGAGAAGGACAAACTGGAACTGGACCTGGAGCAGGTAAGAAGGGGCTGTCTGTCAGCTCTGGGTGAGCACTGACCCGAGGGATGAGGTCCACTTGTGGAGGCTCCAAGAGCTCCCTGTGCACCTGCCATGCTCACTGGACCCTCCCCGTCAGCCCAGGGGTCCACGCAGCACACACTGGCCCAAATCTCGCTCCCCTCCCTTTCCCACGTGAGGAGAGGTGGGGTCCATCCGAGGGAGGGAGGGCCTGCCCAGGGGAGGAGGGGTCCACCGGGTGAGGAGGGGTCTGTACCCCTGTCCCAGGCTGGCCAGGCAGGGCCCACCTTCTTCTTGAGCTCCACGCTGATGGCATTGGCCTCCTTGAGGAAAATGGCGTTGCCCCACAGCTGGTCACGCAGAGAAGTGAACTGGTACCATTTCCACTTCCGGAAGGCCCACAACGCCAGCTCACACTCCCGCTCTGTCCACTGGACTGTGGAGACAGCTGGACAATCACTGTGGGGTCCACCACAGGCCTGCCCTCAGGGAGGCTGGCCACACCTGCCCCGTGTTGCTTTGGCCAGCAGAGCCAGAAGGACTGTGGGTAAAGGCACTGTCCGGAGGTCATTGTGGCCAGGTGACAAGTGAGGCCCTACTTCACATCCATCCAGGGACAGTGCAGAGGTAGCTGCCCTTGGAGTCGTGGCAGAAGCCATCAGAGGAGGCCAGTGGCCCAGTGGCCCTCACTGAGCAGGTCACTCTCCCTGTCCGTGGGTGGGAAGAAGCTTTGTGGGGCAGGTGAGGAAACCAGTAATAGACTTGCTGACCCAAGTGCACCACAGGCCAGAGGCCAGGCTGGATGTGAACCTATCCCCAGTTCCGCACCCTCACTGCCCAGGACAGTAGTACTGACACACAGCTTGTGAGCAAACTCTGAGCCTCTCACCCTGGAGGGGACGCGAGGCACACGGCTTGGGGAGTGTCCAGGGTCATCAGCTGACGTGCACTGTGCACACACATATGTGTATACACATCTGTTAGCACGTGCATGTGTATAAATGTATCTGCCAACATGCTTGCGCTCTTCAGAACCAGCACGTGTGCACACATGAACATATGCACATATCATGCACTATGCACTTGTGCCTCTCACTGTGTGTATGGCATGTATGTGGGTGTATTATGTCCTTCACAACCAACATGCACGTGTGTGCTGTGCATCCTGTGTCCACGGTGCGTAGTACACCACGTGTCTGCAGATGTGTGTATGCTTCACATCTGCATGGATGTGTGTACAGCCAGGTATACAAGTCACATATCTACATGTATGCTTGTATGTGCACACCACGTATGTACATGTGACCACTGACTTCTGGGGGTCCTGGGAGACCTCTTCTCCAGGACCCTCCCTCTCAGGGCTGCTCACCTTCATCCTCCAGCTCCTCTTCTTCCTCATTCACCTCAGGGTAGTACCTGGAGTCCATCTGCTTCTTCAAGGCCTCCAGTTTGCTCTCATAGTCCTACGGCGGGATGACCATGCCGGCTCAGGACAGCTCTCTGCCTGGCTGAGCTCATGCTCTGCGCATTCACAGTGTGGAGGCAGGCCGGAGGCTGGACACGCGCTCAGGGATACCCAGCTTCTCCAGGGACCCCAACTGCCTGCTCCAGTCAAACCCAGATGGGCCCCAGGGTGTGGGCATGGCTGGCCCTGGCCCTCACCAGCCTCTGCTGCTCCAGCAGGTAAGTGGCTTCCTCACGCTCCCTGCGGTACTGGTCCTCCAGTTCCTGGAGCCTGTGGGGGTGGGGGTACAGGTGCTGAGGTCACAGGGTGCCAGGGAACTGGGGTGCACCTGTGAGCCAACCTAACCACAACCTGCCTCCCCTATGCCCTGTGTGCCCCACTTCTGCTTCTGTCCTCCACTGCTTTACTCATTTCATCTCTTCCCCCATTCCTGTCCCCTCAGCTCACCTGCCTCCACCTCTACTCACACCTGTCCCCACCTCATCTCATCTCCCTCCTCCTCCCCTCTGCCTGTCTCCTCCCTCTCCAGACCTGTGCCACCTCTACCCTCGCCTTGCTGTCCACAGCCTACCTAATTTCTGCCATCCAGACCTAGCTCACTTTCACCCCATATCTCTGCCCTCTGCCCACCCTCCCACCTCCCTCACCTCTGCTCCATCTCCTGCTTCATGTCGATGCCCTGTTTCTCCAGCAGCTCCCGCTGGGCGAAGGCCCAGTCCACGGGCTCGGCGGGTGTCTCTGCACAGGGCGTGCGTTCCCGCTCCTGGCGCGCCTGCTCAGGGTGGTTGAAGCGGAACACGTGGCTCTTCCCCATGATGATGCGGTTCCCTGGACGAGGAAGGGACAGTGAAGGAGGGGAGTCCCAGGAGAGGGGTGCAAGTGCCCAGAATAGCCCGCAGCCTCCTCCACCCTGGGGGTCCTGCTGGCTGTGTCCACAGCTGGGCCTAAGCCTGAGGACCTGGAGGCTTCACACTCCCCAGTCCACCTGAGCCCACCCTCTATGTCTGCAGCCCCCTCACCCTGTTGACCTCACCCTCATTGACCCCCATTTCTGCAGCCCCCTCACCCTGTTGACCTCACCCTCATTGACCCCCATGTCTGTAGCACCCTCACCCTGTTGACCTCACCCTCATTGACCCCCATGTCTGCAGCCCCCTCACCCTGTTGACCTCACCCTCATTGACCCCCATGTCTGCAGCCCCCTCACCTCCAATGACTCCACATTCAGTCTTTTCCAGACCCCTACAACTTTCTTGTGCTCAAAGGCGGGGTCAAGGAGACACAAGGCCTCAGGAAGGCCAGTGTGCTCGGGCAGCCCTCCCACTTCTCCACTGGCCCCAGCTGGACTAATGAAGGGTCCTCCTCATCTCAGACCAGAGCTCCCCACATCTGGCACCCCACAGAGCCACCTCGTAAGTTCACTCTCCACAGAAAGGACTTCCGTCCACACGTGGGTTCGTCCAGCAGGTGCCCACTGTCTAGATCCCAGACTGAGCCCCCATGCCATCTGGCAGGCCTCAGCAAGCCCGGGGATAGCACCACCTCCAGGTGGCAGACCAGTGGCCCTCTTGGGATGAAGAGATGGCCTGGACACAGGGCCCCACATCACGGTGTGACCTTCAGTCCTCTCTCATGGCAGCACTCAGAATGTGGCTCACATGGCCGCCTCCACCCCACTTACCTGAGCGGAGGATACTGGGCTCTGTGACTTTCTTGCCATTGACGTAGGTGTCTGCACCCTCACAGGGCTCCAGGGTGACCACTGCTGTGGGACAGAGGGGCCTATGAGGGGTCCACCCCCCTGCCCAGGTGTGACCCCACAATCCCTGTCTTTTCTGCTAGTTGCAGACACTTCAATGGGCTTTGGAGACGCCAGGAGCACCCCTTCACCACAGAGGGAGACTTCCATGCCCATGGGGACTGACTGGGCACTGGATGCCAGCCCAGGGCACCGCCAAGGTTTGGGTCAAGAGCATGACAGGAAGCAGGGTTAACAGCACCCAGCATGGTGACACACTGATTGAAGTGCTGGAGGTGAGCCCAAAGGTCAGCAGTCTGAGCCTCCGGATGTCCGAGGAGAAAATGAGGCAGTGGCTGCTGTGACAGCACCACCGACGGGGGCAGCCGTCAGCTCACCAAGGCACTGCAGTGGGCACACGGGGCATCAAGGGGTTCCAAGGTGCTGAAGACCAAGGACGTCCGTTTAAGGCTAAGGAATGGCTGACTGGAGCCACAGTGTTCTCAATGTGTCAAACTCATCCAAAAGTCTGACAACGAGTAAGGAAAACTGGTGCTTTTACACTGTGGTGCTGGCAAAGAGGGCCATGGCTGTCAGGACGGACACACACGCACTGAAGCAGGGGCAGCCAGTGCTCCTTGGAGGCAAGGCTGCGGGACTGGCCTCACGTACTTTGGGCATGTTGTCAGGAGGGCCAGCCCCTAAAGGAGAGTGGAGGGTCGGTCACCAAAGGAGGGAAGACCTCCGTGAGGTACATGAACTTGGTGACGGCCGTGATGGGCTTGAGCGCAGGGAGGTGGGGAGGCAGTGTGGGATGGGGCAGCTTTCCTTCTCTTGTTCATGTGGTCACTATGGGTCGGGACACCTAGCCAGTCAGCTTCCCTAAAGAGTCCGGCTTGGGCGCCCCGTGGAGGCTCTGCTCTGTGACACAGGGGCCCCAGGAGCCAGGACCAAGGGAGGCAGCAGGTTTGTCTCTTCTTACCAGAGCCCCATGGTCACAGGGCAGGGTAGGGGCCCTGTGCGCAGAGCTACACCTGGCCACCCTTCTCAGGTCCCCTGAGGCCTAGGCAGATGGCTGCTCCTGACCAACAGCAAGAGAGTTTAAAACCGCTTGCCCCCTCGGATCTGGGGCTCCCTCCTCACAGCCCTTGGGGACCTGTTCACCAGCCTCTAGACTTCCAAGTTCCTAGTCCACAGTCCAGGACACAGAGAAAAGGGGCTGCCCACCTATCCCTGCCCTGCCCACCACCTTCAGGGAGATGAAACTCAATGGGCAGGGGATCCTGGGACAGGGCAACACCAGTCACTGACCACCTTCCTGGGGGGATGTCAAGTCCCCCAACATGTGTGCCTGGGCTGTGTCCCAGACAGCAACAAGGTGGACCTGGAGAACCTGGCTGTCCCTCCAACCTAAAGGCAGTGATGAGTAACACTGGGGGGGAGGCAGCAAGGGAGGGACAGGGTAGGAGGGCAGGGGTACCTTCACTGCCTCCCCGGGAGTCGCTCCGGAAGATGCAGTGCTCCTCCTTGATAAAGTGACCGCTCAGGACGATGTCTTGTCGCCTCTCTGCATCCTCTCGGCCCACTCTGCAAGGGGACACGTGTCACCCCAGCCTGGACCCAGTGTCCATGCCACTGTCCCCAGGTGTTTGTGGGAATGCTGGGTGCCTATCAGGGGACCCTGAGGGGTGCAGGCCAGGTAGCAGGGCAGGGAGGGCGGCAGTCAGCTGTCCGGGGGGACTCTGGTGGTCGCAGGAAGTAAGCACAGCTGGGCAGGATTGGGGCCCAGCTACCCCCTCACACCTGGTGGTCCCATCCTTGATGTAATACAGGAGACACTCGGACATCAGGGGGTCCTCGTTCAGGTTGACCAGATGTGGCGTCTGGAGGGAGAAGAAGAGTGGCCTGTCCTGGGGAGGGGCTTGGAGCCTGGCACTGGCCCTGCCTCTCCCCAGAGACTGCCCATCACCAGGCCTGTTATGTGTGTTGTGGGGCGAAGGGTACAGGCCATGAACAGTAAGGCATCTGAGAGCGCTTATGCCAGGGCACCTGCCCTGAGCCCAACTCGGCTATCCAACAGGCCGGCTGCCTGGAGGACCCACACTGGGCAGGCCGACCTGGGCTCAGGAGAGGTGAAGGCCCAGTTCCCCATCCACACAGCCTCAGATGCTGTCTGGACACCCCAAGTCCAAAGTGAAGAGGACCATGGGGCTTCTGTGTCCTCCAGATGCTGCTCACCTCAATGCCTGGAGCTACCTAAGCAACACCTGTGTGGGAGGGCCTGTCCCTGCAGGTGCCAGAGACCACCATCTACACCCTGTGCCCCAGAGGCAGGCTCCCACGTGGGAAGGCCACTACCACCATGAGCACTAGGGGTGGTCTGCCTTCTCTAGTGAGGTTTCTCCCAGACAGGCCCCCGAGGGCCTTCTCTCCTAGGAGTCCCTATGGTCAGTGCCTTCAGGAAGACTGTGATGCAAACACAAAGCTTTCTTTCCCCCAAAGAGCTGACCTGGCCTGGAGGGGAAGGCGGAGCCAGGATCCCAGCAGCCAGCACTGAGGCCACATAGCCAGCCGGCCACCACTACTACTAGGAAGGCGCCCAGAGCCTGGGGCTGGGGTGAGGTCCGTGGGGTTGGGGGAGGCTGTTCTCGGAGCATCACTCGAGTGAACACCCCTCAGACTGGGCTGTCTTTTTCTGAGTTGGGGAGGGGCTGGCCTACCCTGAAGATGCTGTGAGAGAAGAACCCAGCCCCATCTCCAGGATGCTCACACTGCAGGTCTGCAACCACAGGCCCCAGCCCCACTCCTCAGACTACTAGGTGACCATCCAAACCCTGAAGCCACACTGGAGGTGCCTTCCTCAAAGAAGGGGTCCGGCAGTGGGCAGGAAGTGGAGCTGTCACCTGGGGCCACAGCACCCCCCACTGCCTCTCTCCATCTCTCAGGAAGCTGGGACCCACAGTGTTTCCTGGGATAGCCTCAGAGCTGGTGGGGGCCCTAGGTAGAGTGGGGAGTCCCACAGGGGCCAACCTACCTTTTTTGGAGAGAACACGCCCAGGGTCCCACCATCCTCCCGCATGGCCACACCCATCTCGGCCAGCAGTGCTTCCCTGGGGCAAAAGGTGGGTCAGCAGAGCCCTTGCCTTGTTGAGAGAACCCTCTTAGCTCCCTGTCCCCCAGTGTCCCTCATCTCCCTCACTATACTGCAGTGTCCATGACCTCAATGTGCCCAATGTCCGTGACCTCACTGCTCCCCAGTGACCCTAACCTCATGTCTCTCGGTGTCCCTGTCCTCACTGTCCCCAACCTCACTGTCCCCCAGTGTCCCTGACTTCACTGTCCACCTGTGTTCCTGACTTTACTGTCCCCCAGTATCCCTGACCTCACTGTCTCCAATGTCCACGATCTCTCTGTCCCCCAGTGTCCCTGCCCTCCTGCCCTCCAATGGCCCTGACCTCACTGTCCCCCAGTGTCCCTGACTTCACTGTTCACCTGTGTTCCTGACTTCACTGTCCCCCAGTGTCCCTGACCTCACTGTCCCCCAGTGTCCCTGACCTCACTGTCCCTGACCTCACTGCCCTCCAATGGCCCTGAGTTCACTGTCTCTGCCCCCTCCTCATCCCATCCCCTATCACTCACCTCTCCATCCGGATGGCCTCCGTGCGTCGCAGCTTCTCCTCCCAAGTTTCATTGAGCTCAGCAATGATCTTCTCTGTCTCCTGGGGACCAAAGGGGGATTCAGCAGTGGAAAAGGTCAGCAGGGGAGTGGTCAGCAGGGCATGCCCTTCTCAGCCTCTGAAGTCCTGGTGTGGCACGGACAGAATGGTGGAAGGAGCAGGCCCAGGGGGACAGGGATGGCCCTGGCTTGACCGCAGCCCTGTTCTCTGAGCCTCATACAGTGACATCCCCTCTCAGGCAGTGACCACTGTGCACTCAGGACCAGGCCCTGCCCACGTCACCCAAGCCTACTGGTGCCTTCTTCCTGTCTCCCCAGCTGGGAACCCTGAAGGGACCAGGCTAACTGGTCCTAGTTCCATGTCCTGTCTGAACCCTGTTGTCACATGACGGGCCTTTACTGGACACTGCACGCTGCCCTGCCCGGGAAGGGGGCTGTGATGCCTGGCTGTCCTCACCTTCAGCCGTTCAATGGCCTCCTCACTGCCTGGGGCGAATAGGATGCGTTCATGCAGGCTGGCCACGGAGGCGGCTCGGCTGGACAGGGCTGAGAGTGAGGACGAGGGGCTCATGCCCACCAGCGCGTTGGTCACTGTGGAGAGAGGGTCAGGGATGTGACTTCACAGCCAGGGTCCCTATTCCGGAGGCCAGCTCCGCACAGGGCAGCCAGTGGACAGAGTAGAGACAGTGGGAAGCTGAAGAGGGGAGGAGGGGCGGAGCCAGAGCGGCACAGTGTGGCCAGCAGGACGGCAGCCGGCAGACTGCGGACAGCGCATGCCAGGCCCGAGCCTCAGCTCCTGGCTGGCCACCCTTCTCCCATCCACTGTCCACTCTCTACATCTGGGAGCCATGACCAGTTCACATAGCGCCCAGGCCTCCCCCTGACCCTGAACTTCACTGTCCCCTGCCCTTGGCTGACAGCTGGTGGCTGCACCAGCAGCTGCTCCCGGTCCTTGACCTCCGCAGCACCCTCCCCTTCCCTCATGTCCACCTCCAGCTCACCAGCCCAGCTGGGGATAGAGGCTGATTAGGACCATCCCCAGGACAGGTGAGCTGGACCACCCGGGAGCCCCTCCTAACTCCTCCAATAGGCTGCGGGGCACGGCCTCTGGCACCGGGAACTCTGAGCACCCTCCCCACGGCCCCTGCCCCCCAGGCCAGGAGGCAGCTGTGACCCCCAGGGCCAGGGGCCCGAGTCCCTCCTGGCAGAAGCACACAGACAGCAGAGCAGCAGCAAGTACAGGATGGCACGGGCAGGGAAACTGAGGCAGCCTGCAACCCTGGAAGGGGGCTCAGCCTTGTTCTGGAGCCAGGATCAAGGCTGGGAGAGAGTTCCATGAGCATTCTAGGAGTGCCCTGGGGTGCACGTGTGTTAGATGAGAAATTGCAGGTAAGAGGAGGTCCTGGACCTGAGGCCTAAGGAGGTGCCTCGGGTTCCACAGAGGTTCAGGCAGGCGCTCCAGGGCCCTTGACACCGAACCAGTGAGCGGCCAGGCCTCTGGGGTCAGAGGGCACCTATTGTCTGAGAAGGACATGCTATGGCTTGGCCTCTCTGGGCCTCAGTTCCTCATATAAAAATAGGGGTGACCAGGGATGGACTCACAAATTAAGGTCCCACCTCCCAGGGGGCCCCTAAGGGCAGAGTGGAACCTCCAGCTCCAAGAGGGCAGGCAGGCAGGTCCCCCAGCTGCCCCACCGTGCCACCCTGCGCCCCGGGCCGGGCCAAGCAGAGTGGACAGCGGGGCATACACACATGTGGGTCCTCCAGGCACAGTGGTGGCTAAGGCAGGAGAGGCGTGGGAAGGAGAGACAGAAAAGAAGAGCAGGTTTGTCCCCAGGGCCCCCATCACGCCCACCGCAGACTGGCAGCTAGGAGCAGGCTGGACCTCAGGGTGCTGAGAGTCTTCAGGGCAAGGGCAGAGCAGCCAGCACCCCCCACACCCTCGCCAGCAGAGTGGCTTCCAGGAAACCCATCCTGGGTCAACCTGAACCGGCACCAAACCCGAGCCAGCAGTTCCACCTGGCCAAGGCCAGAATCACTCCTCCCATGTGGGGCCCAGACCCAGGCTCCCCCCAGAGGTGGTGCTCTCAGAGCACAGGACCAGGCCTGGGGATGAGGCCACTGGGAAAGTCGTGGTCCCAGGAAGGAGGAAAGTCGTGGCCACCAGGTCCAGCTCGTCATGCTGAGGCTTGGCTGCCGGGCCAGAACTCCCTGGCCATGACGTGGCAGAGTCTGGACATGCAGCTGATCTCCCAGCTTTAAGTACGAGTCTGATGCCCCGCCTAGATGGACGGTACTGTCACTGGGACCCTGGTACAGCATGTCCTGCACTCGCCTGATGCTGAGGTCCACAGACGTGTCCTGTTGGACATTCACTGTCACCAAGTCCCTGGGCACACACCTGGTCCCACAGTCCCCTGAGCCTGAGACCTGAAGCCCTGCCCTTTCCAGTTGAGATAGACACTCACTGTCCGTGATGTCACCGAGACCTTGGGCATACAGCAGGTCCCGCAGCCGGGTCACCTCGTCCTTCAGCTCACGGATCAGCTTATTGTTGGGGTCCTCATTGATGACAGCATTGCAACGGATCTGCTTGGCCCGGTCAGCATACCTAGGCAGTGAGGGTAGGCGTGGGCCTCCTGGGGCAGACCGGTGGTGCCCAGGAGGCCTGTGGTACCCAGAGTCCCTCCTGGCAGACCCAGGTGGGTGGGGTCCTCAGCACACCCTGATGGCGTGAGAAGTCACCCTCACTGCAAGCCGGTGGACAGTCACTAGGCCCTAACCAGAGGAGGCCCACGATGGGGCCAGCAGCTCCCAAATGGGGAAACTTCGGCTTGGGAAGAAAGGAAGGGTGCTGAGCTCACCCCATGCTGAGAGTTGTAGCATCTGAGAGGAAGGGGGAGCCCACGTGCAGAAGAGCAGGGTGTGAACTTGTGTGTGTGCTACAGCCCCCCATGGGAAGACCATGTGTCCACACGTAAGGACGGACACAGTCTGTTCCATTCCTCTACTCAGCTGAAAGCTGGACAGTGACTAAGGATACTGTGAATCTGAGCTGTGGTGTCGGAGAAGAGTGCTGAATATCCTGCCAAAAGAACAGACCAGTCAACCCTAGAGCACACACAACCAGGATGCTCCTTGGAGGCAAAGATGACAGGCTTCATCTCACACATTTGGGCATCATGTTATGGGAGGGGCCAGTCCTTGGAGATGGACATCATGCTTGGAAGGTAGAGGGCATAAGAGAAGACCTTCAACAAGATGGACTGACACAGTCACTAAGAGTGGGCTCCAGTATACTGGAGAGAATCAGGATGGCACAAGATAGAGCCAGACTCAGGGTCTGTGAAGTGCACAGGCCGATGACACAGGACAACCTCCAGGTGGCCTGGAAGTAAGGAGTTGTGCTGCCCACTCGAACCCACCAGCTGCTCCTTGGGAGAAAGCTGGACAGCCTTCTCCCGGGTGGTCTACCTGAAAACCCGCTCGAGGGCTAGTTTGAGTCGAGAGGAGAAACTTAACGTTCTTTCTGCTATTGATGTGCCCCTTCTCTGCAGCTGAGGAGCCCAGCCCCTCCACCCAGGACAGCCCCCATGGCCCCTGTGCCTTTGCTAATTAAATGTCCTCAGTCTATCTCACTGTCCACACGTGGGCAAAGTCCATCAGTCTGGTGCCGCAGGCCCAGTGAAATGGGATTTCTAACAGTTCAGTGAAGGCAGGAGCCCCAGGAGCCCCTTGAAGCTGTACTGAGTCACAGGGGAGACCCCTAAGGGCATCCCCTTTCTCCCCGGGGTCCCGACGTGGGCACAGGAGGACCCACCTGAGCGTGCTGAGGGTCTCGTCATAGTTGATGTCTGCCGGACTCAAGGCTGCCACCATTGCTGTCCTTGAGTTCCCGCCTGGAGGAAGAGAACAGCACCACTGCTATGACCTCTCCAAACAGAAGCCCAGGCTTTCTGAAGACAACCCGGGGCCCTTCCTAGTGACAACGACAGCTGGGTGGGCTCAGCCTCAGAGGGTAACTGAGTCACAGGCCGACCACCCCTGCTCACTTCTGTGCTTCATCTCTTACGTACAACGTTATTCTTACATTTGGGGTCATTTCCCATCAAACAGGCCTCTCTTTCCCCATAAAGAGTAAAGTTGTGGGTCTTGGCATTTACTCCAAGATGAGGCGTGGAGGCGTCAAATACATTGTCGCTTTATTTGAACCATGCTGGTTCCCCCAGGCAGCTGCTCTGGATCTGCTGCTGGTCCCTGCCTCAGGTCCTCCGGGACCACATGAGTTGAGAACACCCCCTGGGAGCGCCCCTTGGCTGGGCCCAGCAGTGGTGAGAGGATTCCTGGGAGCCGGGCACCCCACATAGCAAGAAGAGAAAAGCAGAGGGAGCCACAGGCAGGAGCTGGATGGGCCCCCAGCACAAGCTCACCCAGGTTCTCCCGGAGAAGCCAGGTCAGCACGGAATCCCGGTACGGAATGAAATCGGTCTTCTTCTTTTTCTTGTTCTGTTGGGAAGGAACATATAAGGTGTCAATGCAGCTCCCTGAGGGGACGCGAGCAGGTGTGGGAGGGAAGCATAGAGAGGCCTTTCTGTGCAGATCCCCAGTGCCAAAGGCCAGGGCAGGGGTGGGCCAGGGCCCTTGGAGGGTGGCGCACTCGGTGGGCACACATTGCCCAAGACCTCTCCCGGCCTGAACCTCAGGGTGCCACTCGTAGACAACCTGCTCTAGAATCAAGAACTTGCTAACCCATCCTCCAGGGGTCTCCTAATGCCACCCCAATGCATGTCTGGGACCCACTGCTCACTCAAGCCCACTCTGACACCTCAGAGACCTCACTGCCCACCCTCACACACCCCACCACTAGAGGTGGTCCAAGTCCCACAGGCTCTGCCAGCTTCCCACCAAGCTTACCTCTCCTCATTCACACAGGGTGCGCCTTTCCTCAAAGCATCCCCCAAATACGGCATGTTTGTCCTTGCAAGTCGCTCTGCGATCTCCCCCCGGCTCACACGCATCCTGTCACAGCCCTGAGAGCCCCACAGCCTCACCAGCTCTCCACAGACTCACACACACCATTCCTGACCCAATCCCAAGAGCGCCTCAGTCCACCATGCGGTTAGCTAGAGACGTAGCTGCAGACACAGACTCTAACCGTAAGGTTCGACACACAGTTCCTCCGACAACCGCCCGGAACCCCACACGGTTTACTTCTCACCGTGTCTCAGTGGCCCGCACAGTCCTTCAGGGTTCCTCACAAAGTGTCTGAGGGGGTCCGACACACACGTCTTTGGCTGCTCCTCCCACATTGGCCCTTCTCATTTTCCACAATTCTTCACAGGACCCACACAGGCCCCACGACATCCTTCACACAGCTCGAACTCTCCCTCCACAGCTCCTCAGAGCTCTCACTCGGCTCCTTCCTCCTCCTCCTCACTCACACCACACACTTTCTCACATAAGCGCGCACACGCCTCACAAGGCCTCTACGACACTCTCAGGCACACACAGCCTTCACACAGTCCCTTGCAGTCCTCGGGGTGCCTCACTGTCCCCACAGTTCCTTCCTGTTCCTCATTCACTCCCCAGCACGACACACATTGTCGTTATGGACCACGAAATCGGACATGACTCATAGCTGACCCTCCAGCGGGTTTTCTCAGACTATAAGTCACATGAAAGGAGACTGCCAGCCTTTCCCCCACGGATCAGCTGGTGGATTCGAACCGTGTGCCTTTGGGTTGGCAGCACAACTCCTTACTACTAAGCCACCAGAACTCCCTCTCCTGTAGGTTGTTGTTGTGATGTGCTGTCAGGTCGACAGGTCGTAGTGATCCTGTGAACAATGAGCACCCTGTGCCATCCGCGTCAGCTCGGATCGCCAGTCACTGTGTCAGTTCATCTCTTAGACTGACCCTCGACCTGTCTTTTCCAAGGCTCAGCCCTCTCTAGCAACAGGCCCAAGTGCGTGAGACGAAGCTTCCCCTCCTTGCCTCAGAGGAGCACCCTGGCTGCTCTTCCTCCAAGTCCTGCTGGTTCTTTTGACCATCCGTGGGCTGTCTCATGCTCTTCTCCAACATCAGAAGTCAACAGGCCCAGTTCTTCTGTCATCTGTAGTCATTGTCCAAATTTCAGTGCCCAGCAAGTAATAAAATAGATCTTGGCTTGACTCAGATGCACCTTAGTCTTTAAAGTGACATCACTACTCTTCAGCACCTGGAGCCTGGGCCCTAAGAGAGGAAACCAGCCGACCCTCTCGAAGGCCTGTGTCCTGATGGAGGAAGCTCCACACAGAATTCCTCAGAGTTCCCAACACAGCTCCGCTCAGTCCCTCACACGTCTTGTGGCAGGATTCTCACGGATTCCCCATATCGGCCCTTCCACCTCCGCCCCTGCTGTGCTTCCCGCCTCTCAGGTCTTCGTCTGAGGACAGCCCAATCTGCGCAAGCGGGATGCAGTCACTCTCGTGGTAGCTCTCTCCCAGCCTACCCGGCCCCTGACTGGCCTTCACTCCGTGTGTAATGACCCGCCGGCTCCCGTGTTTATGGTGCACCTCTCCCGTCACTAAGCAGCGCTGGTGGCACTGTGCTGTACAGGCTGGGCTGCTGATTGAAAGTCCTCAGTCAGGCAGCGTGACGGGATGGCGAGGCAGCCTCAGTCATGAACCCTGGCAGCCTAGGAATCCCAGAAGGGAGTTCTGGCCTGTGCCACGCGTTGCTAGGAGTCCGGACCAAGACAACCAGCAGTGTGGTCTGTAGTCCCCTAACCCTGTAATGTCTTGCGCTTCCAGACCAAAGGCAGGCAGTTCAAATCTACCGGCTGCTCCTCAGGCGAAAGACAGGCAGTCTCCTCCCAAGCCATTTCTCACCTCTGAAAACCCACTGGAGGGTCAGCTGTGAGTCGGTTCCCACTGGTCACAGACAACAACAACTCTACTGAAGACCCCTAAAGACCCTCTGGCTCAGAGTTGGACTCAATGAGTTATTAGATAAGCGGATGAAGGAGGGAAACACGCACACTGCTGAGACCAGCACATCTCACAGGAGGCCCTTCCCTGCAGGAAGGGAGACCCCTCCCTGGAACTGAAGGAAGCAGCTTACCTTGTTGGGTCCAGAGTCCTGAAAAAGAAAAGACAGGAAGCATTAGGACGCTTGGAGTGAGACAGGGCCCAGGAGGGGGACAGGGTCCCGAAGGCAAAGGCGCAGGCCCAGCAAGGCGCAGGCAGGCTCCAGCCACAGACCCTGGCGTGCACTGTCCCAACAGGCAGGAAAAGGACACGGGAACTGCCCGGCCACCGTCACCTGGCGGCTCTCACTTCCTCACCCATGACAGTTCCAGGGCAGGGTGGGTCACTCCTGGGTGTGAGACCTGGGGTGGACAAAGCTGCCTGACCCATGGCACCTGTCTGGGCCAGAACATCCGTCCAAGAGCTGTGGTGACGCCGAGATGGGCAGCGTGGCTGAGGCCCACGACACTCAAAGCCGACTACAGCCTCCCAGAGGGATACCAACAGACACACTCACTCTGCCAGCAGAGCGGCCATTCGCTCGGCCAGTGGCCACTCAGCCAGCAGTCACTCAGAAGAGCCCTCTAGTGGCAAGCAGGCCTTCCTCTGCTCTGGTGGGGACACTGAGGCTCAGTCACCACTCCATCCCTGAGTCTGCGAGCCTTCATCATTGTCTACCTCTTGAACCTGGCCATCTCCCCAGTACAGACCTGGGTACTGGGGTGACAGGTGCTGCAAGTGTGACAAGTATGGGTGGGGGAGGTGTGACAAGTACGATGGATATGGTGGGTGAGACAGGTGTGATAAGTGTGATGGATGTGGTGGGTGTGACAGGAATGATAAATACGACAGGTGTGATGAGTGTCGCAGGTAAAACAAGTGTGACAGACGTGGTGGGAGTGGCAGGGGAGACAAGCGTGATAGGTCTAGCAGGTGTAACAAGTATGGTGTGGCAGGTTAGACAAGTGTGACAGGTGTGGCAGATGAGACAAGTGTGACAGGTGTGGCAGGTGAGACAAGTGTGACAGGTCTGGTGGGTGTGGCAGGAGAGACAAGTGTGACAGGTCTAGCAGTGTGACAAGCATGATGGGTGTGACGAGTGTGGCAGGGGAGACAGGTGTGATGGGTGCCGTGGGTGTGGTGGGTGCAGCAGGTGAGACAAGTGTGACAGGTGTGGCGGGTGTGTCAGACATCCTCTGTAGAGGGCAGCACAGGAGGCATCCACATGGCCCCTCCCACCAGTTGGTTCTAGAAGTTTCTGGAGACAGCTCACCATTTCAGCAAGTGCAGAGATGACCTTGCCCAGCGTGGTCAGGGACTTGTTGATGTTGGCTCCTTCCTGTGGACAGAGAAGACAGTTGGAAGTCAGGAAGCTTCAGGAGCCTCCTATGGGGTGATGGGCCAAAGCCACTGGCCCTGACTGTTGACCCCAAGGTCACCAGGCAACGATGTCACCAGGAGGGCAGTTTGCAATGCTTCCCTAGAATCCTAAGGACACCTCAAACACACCTACCCCACCTCAAGAGCCCCTCCCACCCACCTGATGACAGAGGCCAAGTGTGCTCCTCAGAAAAGAAAGACCCTTCCCGCAGCCCCTGCTGGCTGTCACTGGGGCCTGGACTGGACAGCTAGTCACTCCGTGCACCTACCTTGAGGCGTGTGCCCTTGGCACCGGTGGAGTCGGCCCGCTCGCTGCCCGCCAGGTCCACCAGGCTGATCTTGCTCACCTGCGGTGGACATGAGGGGAAGCCTGAGGACCCAGAAGGGGGTCTGGGAGCCTGGGTCTGAGGTGCACCTATCACCACTGTCACCCCATGTCCTTCTGGAGCTTGCCTGTGCTGGGACCTGAACCCAGCAGGAAAGCTGTGCTCTTACCAGAGACCAGGTGACCATCTCCCAGGGGCCCCTGGGTCCCACAATGGCAAAGGCCAAACACTGGCTGGCTGGTCAGGCCCTGAGCGTAACCCACACCTCAGGGAAACTGAGGGGGTGGGGCTATGGTTAGGGGCGGGGCTTCTAGCAAGGGGCGGGGCTGTCCTCAAAGGGGCAGGGCCTTGTGGCCTGTGGGCAGGGCGACTGGAGAAGCCTTGTCCCAAAGGCGACAGCCCCACCCCCTTGGCTGACCTAAGGGCTGGAGGCCCCAGGAGACGCCTACATAATGCAGAGCCCCACCTCCACGGGTGGGGAAGGCACCCTTCCAGCCTCTCCTCTGTGCCCCTCCATACAGGGCCCCCACTTGCGTTTCCCACTTCCCACCTGCACCCTTGGGACGGAGGTCTCCCAGCTGGCAGGCAGGCTGCCCAGTGAGCGGAGGCTGAGCCTGGAGACGGCTCTCAGGGCCCTGATTACACCCAGGACCACAGCTCTATCAGGCCTAGCCAGTGCCCAACACCAGGGGCCGACCACCCACCTTCTCCGTGGTGATGTCCGTCTCAGCGTCGTGGCGCTTTTGCGTGAAAATGATGTTGAAGACAGCATGGGAGCGGCTGCTCGTCTCATTCATGTTTGTGGCTGCCACGGTCCTGGGGGCAGCACAACAGGACATCACCCCATCCTCGGACAGGTGAGGGGATGGCTCCTGTGCCGGCCACCAGACAGCAGGGCCCAGGACAGACTAGCCTGCGGGGGTCTCCAGGACCTGAGGCTGCCCCCAGTGCCACCTCCCACCGTGGAGCAGGTGACAGAATGAGGACTGCAGATGAGAGCTGGTGGCACAATAGAGTGGGGCAGAACCCCTACACCTGGGTAAGGTCTCCCTTCCTGAAGCTGCAGCTGGGGGCAGGCCCAGGAGCAGGTGGGCTCCTCACCGCGGAGTGGGGGGTGGGACAGGGTGGGCCCTAGGGCACACACACACACACACACACACACACACACCTGGCCTTGTTTCCCGAGTCCATGAGGTCTTGGATGTCATTGTAGGAGGTGACAGCGAGTTTAGAGAGGTCCTCCACGTAGGGGCCCAGCAGTGGGTGTTCCCGCACCCGCAGGTTGCCCTTGTTCTTGGGGTTCAGCAGGTCTCTGACACGCTCACAGTAGATCTCCATATAACTGACCTACAGCGCAGAGGTCCCACCCTCAGGTCCCCCCGAGGTGGGCAGGGGGCACCCCCAGGGAAGGAGGCAGGGTCACACCCCACAGTGGACCAGGGCCCAGCCTGCCTCCCTGCTTTCTACTCACCCCACCCCACCCGAGTGGTCCGTCAGAGGCATTCGCCAGTCTGTCCGCCCATCTCCCTCCCTGCAGCCCGCCCAGGCACACGGCCCAGGTGTCAGGACTTGTGTCCCACACCCTCTGTCTGTCCCCTGTCCTATCCTCTGGGCATATGCCCTCTCCACGGGATCTCACAGAGGTGACTAACAAACTTAGGGCTTGAGACACATGACCTAGACAGCACTGCTGCCCAGGCCTGGCCACAATCTGGCTGCACGTTGTGGCCATGCTGTCATGCCGGGTGACCGACACGCTCAGGCCACACAGCCTCCAGCACTACTATCCAGTCCAGCCCCATACTCTGGGCACACACCTGACCAAGGTGTCACAGGGTTGACTGACAAACGAAAGGCCGGGCCCACATGGGACCACTGCCCGGCCAGGCCCAGTAGCCTCACCTCCACAGAGTAGGACATGTTGTCGTTGGTTGTGTCATTGATCCGGGAGAAGAGGTCTTCACAGAGCTACACGGGTACGAATAGAGGCATGTCAGCCATGGTCTGGGGACAGCACCCCTCCCCAAGGCCCCATGAAACATGTGACAAAGACCACCACGTTGCACACACCACCTAAAGCCAGGCCCACTGAACTCTGTCTGCCATGGACCATACCACCATTTCTCACCCCAGACAAGGCCTCATCTGTCCATCCCAGAAAGGGGCCATGGCCAGCTGGGCCACACAAAAGCATGGTAGGCTGATGTCCTTGCCTCTCCATCTCAAGGCCTTTGATGCTCTGACCTTCCCCACAATTTACCAGAGACAAGGTGTAGGGGGGCCTTGGAGCCCCTTCCAGGCTGTCCTGTGGGATGCCTAGTCTCTGGTGTCCCCGTACCCTCCAGCTGATGTAACCCCTACCCCATGTCGAATGGTCTCTGTTGTCCCTTACCACATCTCTCCTGGTCCATGAAGTCTGTCCCCCGAGCCAGACCTCTGTGTCCCCCATCACCCTGCCTGGGTGCAGCCTTTATTCCCAGCCCGACTCCTGCATGTGCCCTCTCCATTCCACTGGTCCTTGATGTCTGTCCACTCATTGTGACTCCTGTGCGCTCACCCCATCCCTCCTGGTCCCCCGGCTGGATCCCCCAATCACCCTGCCTGCTCCCAGCCTGCACCCCCAGCCTGACTCCCATGTGTGCATAGCCCATCCCTCTGGTCCCTGTGTGTCACTCACCCCACCTCACTTGATCCCTGATGTCTGACTAGCCTGATTCCTGTACGTGCACAGCCCGTGCTTCCTGGCTGCCCAGCCCCACACTCGTCCATGCCCAGTCACCCTGCCTGGCCTCCGGATCGTGAGAGCCCCTCCCCCGACTCATGCCTGGGGGATGATGCCCTGCTGGTCCTTCTCCTGCTTGCCCATCATGGTGTACGACTTGCCGGCTCCCGTCTGCCCGTAGGCAAAGATGCAGACGTTGTAGCCCTCAAAGGCATGCTGCAGCATCTCCTCGCCAATGTCCCGGTACACCTGCTTCTGGGAGGCGTAGTTGATGTCTTCGGGCTGGGAGGTAGAGAAGGCAGTGGTCAGGGGGTCGCCCATCCCCCAGAATCCCAGCTGCTCACCCACGCTGGACGATGGGCCCTCCAGGCCCTGACGCCCTGACTCACCGAGGTGTGGGACCAGTAGGAGTAGTCGAAGCTGAAGCTCTTGGGCGTCTCCTTGGGTTGCTTGGGGTTGACGATGGCTGCAGAGAAGGAGGCTGAAGTTAGAGCACGCACGGGGAGCGTCCACGAATAACACAGCCAGAAGGGGTCCCAAGGCCCCGAGGGACGAGCATGGTTGGAAGATCTCACTTCCTGACACATCGTCCTCATTCCCATGGCCCCAGTGATGCCCACTGGGCTGGAGACCAGGTAGCCCAGGTCGTGCAACAAGCCCACCTATCACCAAACCCATCCTGTCCTGATCAGGCCGCTGCTGCTGTACACGTTCAACCCCAGGAGCTGCCTGCACCCCACAGCCTCCCTGGTGCCATGTGAGGGCTGCAGAGCCAGCAGTGTCCTCTGTGGACATCATCCTCCACACCCTGCGAAGACCGCCCCCTCCCCCTGCAGACCCCTCACCCTCTGGACCCTGTTCTTACTCCGTTCCCACTGGATTGTGCTCTTGTGAACAGAGTCACAGCACAGCCCATCGTGTCTGCCTCCTGCACAAGTCTCTCTGTGCTCAGAGCCCTGACTGGTGTTGCAGTGACTGCGCCTGATTGAGGCCCCCAAGCCACAAGCCTGTCCCAAGCACCCAGAAGCCCCCACCCCTGAGCAGGGCCAGCTCAGGCATCCCAGGGACAGCCCTGTGCCCAGGAACCAGCACAGGGGGGACTGACTGACCCCCACAAGGCAGATGGGAGCAGCATCCATGTTGTCCCTGGAGCAGCGGCCAAGAGTGAAGTCCTGGCTCCACGCCACTAGAGCCACAGCCCGGGGAACCCCAACTGCTCCTCTCCTCCAACCAGAGTTGTGGGCCTGGGCCTGGTGACTGCCGCTCCAGCACAGCACCACGCCTGCAGAGGCCCACGCCCCAATATCACCCCCATTTCCTCCTGAGCCCGACTCCCACTCCCACCTCGGTCCCCACATCCCCATCCAAGCCCTGCCACCCCAAGTCTTACCCTATCCCCTCCTCCCCACATTGTCCTCCCTCATCCCACCTGAATCCACTCCCACTCCTTCCCAGAACCGAACCCAGGCCTCCTGCTCACGGCAGAGGAAGCCGCTGGGCCGCACCAACCCCTCCGTGCCCTCCTCTGCGTCGGTCCCCGCTTCCTAACACCCTATCTCTCCACCTCACATCGGGCCTTCTCTTCAAGACTCACTCAGGCTAAGAGCTTAAAGCAGTCCTCTTCCCCGGCTCCCCCCAGCGGTCACCCAGAGCTCTGACGGGCTTCTAGCACTTTCCATCTGGACATCACTGTTTTGTTGTCTTAAAAATGAATATGGCTTTCATAGATACTTTCCCGATTATTCACATTCTCTGCCTCTGTCACACACAGACTCTCTCTCCATTCTCACGCTCACAGACACACACAATCCCTCACATACATTCACACTCGTCACACACTATCACCCACACCTTACCTCACATGCATCCTCCCACACACGCACACTGTCACACACACTCACATTCTCCCTCCCTCACACACACCCTCACACACACACTCTCTCCCTCACACATATACACACCCTCACACTCTCTCACACATACACACACACTCCCTCACACATGTACCCACCCTGTCACACACATCCTGACACTCTCTCACACACACACCCTCTCACGCATATCCTCACACTCTCACACTCTTTCTCACACACACTCACTCTCACCTGCATACATAGATTAAATTGACTGCCTCTCCCATCTATAATGAACGTGGAAGCTGTGTCATGAACCCCCTTCTGATAAACCACATAGTTATGGGAGGATTAGGGGTGGAACACAATGCCCCCTAATCTAGGAGAATCCTTGGAAAGAAACACCATGCTTGGACAGATGGAGGGCCAGCTACAGAAGGAAGCCCTCAACCAGGTGGACTGGCACAGTGACTGCCCCAATGGGCTTGAGTGTACCTGTGATTGTGAGGATGGCACAAGCCAGGCCAGGGCTCAGGTCCGTGGTCTACAGGGTCACTGGGAGTCACACTCCATGGCACCTAACAACAACAGTCCCATCACAGCCCGGGGCAGATTTAAGAGGCGTTCCCCTAACCTGTGGCTGTAATACCTTTACTTCACGGGAGGGGAAAGGGGGAAATAAATGCAGGGCCCAGTGTGGAGACCCTTAGTACCCACAAATAGTGTGGGGCAGGGAGGAGGTGCACTTGTTAGACCAGGTCCCCGCACAGCCAAGCCCCTCGACCTTGGCGAAGGCAGAGAGCATGGCGGTTTCCAGGGCCTGTGGCCAGGCCTGCAGATGTTAACAGGACAAGGCCTCTCCTCACGGGCCTTCCCCTGGACCTTCCCAGGATCTGGACTTCTCCCGTCCTTAACTGTTGTGTACCATCCAGTCAGAACCACCCTTAGCTGACCCTCCAGTGGCTTTTCAGAGGCTGTAAACTGCATGAGAGAGTCCTTAGCTTTCTCCCAAAGAGCAGCTGGTGCACTCAAACCGGTACCTTTGCATTAATAATTACCTTTACCTTGTCACTAAGCCACCAGAGCTCAGCTGTAAATTTCCACCAGTCTCCACTCAGGGTAACCCTGACTGAGCAGCACTGGAAGCCTGAGGGGCAGCCCATTTGCTCACACGCCTCACTATCTTCCATGCACCCTCACACGTCACACACACCCACACATCACACTCTTTCACACGTCACACTCTCTCACACGTCACACACACCCACACGTCACACTCTCTCACACGTCACACACTCACACGTCACACACTCACACGTCACACACACCCACACGTCACACTCTCTCACACGTCACACACTCACACGTCACACACACCCACACGTCACACACACCCACACGTCACACTCTCTCACACGTCACACACTCACACGTCACACACTCACACGTCACACACACCCACACGTCACTCTCTCACACGTCACAC